AAAAATGTATAGATTCTCTGTACATAGGCATGAGCAAAGGAAAATAATTTAAATAAATTCTCATAGTTAACATACTGCATTAACTCACAGAGCAGCCTAATTCAAAGATAGGTTTTTTCCTAGAATCTCCATGTTCTTTGACCTTACCATTACTGTTTGGAAAAGAACTTTTTCATCTTTCTTTCAAATATATGTGATAAAGTTATTTTGCTGAATTTTCATTTGACTAATTTTAAATTTATATTTATTTACCTTTTATCCAGTTTCCTCTAATGTTACCATCTTACATAACAATGGTACAGCTATCAAAACTAAAATTAACATTGGTTTTATACTATTAATCAAATTCTAGAGACTCTATTTGCATTTTTAAATTTTATTAATTTTAGAGAGGGGGGAGGGGGGAACCAGGCAAAGGGAGAAGAGAACCTCAAGCAGACTCCACATTGATCATGGAGACCAACAATGGGCACGATTCCAGAACCCTGAGGTCATGACCTGAGCCAAAACCAAGAGTCAGATGTTTAACGGACTGCACCATCCAGGCACCCTGACTCTATTTACATGTTTACATCAATGTGTTTTTTCTGTTTCAGGATCCAATCCAGAATACCTCATTATATATAGTCATCATGTTTGCTTAGCCTCTTCTAATCTGTGACAGTTCCTTGATCTTCACTTTTGAAGAGTAGTGGTCAGGAACTTTATAGAACATCCCTCAATTTGGGTTGGTCTAAAATTTTGTCAGAATTATCCTGTTTATGGATTTGGGAGGAATCATACCACAGAAGTGATGTGCCCTCATCACATATTACCAGGGCACATGATATCAACATAACTTATGGTAGTATCAACCTTAATCCTTTGGTTAAGTTAATCAAGCTTTTTATTTATTTTTTATTTTTAAAAGCTTTTTAACAATATTACTCACTTCTAATATAATTCATGAGAAGAGTAATGGTACTACACTTGAATAATCAAAAATATATTTCATGTAATGATTTAATTTCTTTAGGAGTCTAGTGTCTGATCATGGACTCTTAACTAATGGGAAAGGCATAAGATTTGGGGCCCCATGATCTGAGTCCAAATCCTAAATCCAGTACTTATTGGCTTTAAGTCACAATCTCTACAAGCCTCAATTACTTCACCTAAAAAATGGGGATAATTACCACATTTAGCTCAGAGTTGTGAGATTAAATAATGTGTGCTTCATGTGTTAAAACCACGAAACAATATACAAGTATCAATTGTTTCTATTATGTTTAAGCTTTTGAGTTGCTTACTGAGCATTTATTTACTTACTTTACAAAATGACTTACATAAAAAAGTCTACTGAAACTCAGAAATAAAATGCCAAAGTCACAATTATGAAATGATAGAAAGGTCCTTGAGGGTAGTAGTCTGTTTTCCACCTCTGTTGGATCTATAAATACAACAAAAAGGAAGACTTTTATACTAGCAAGGAAATTATAGATACCACATATACATTTCCATAAGTTAATCATTCAGAAACTGCATAAGTGAGTCAATGAAGAAAAGCACAAAATAACCTGATAAATTACATTTCTATAAGCACTTTAAAATGAGTATGAACTGCTGGGGAGAAATTTTCTATGGCCATATTTAATATGAAGCCTCTTTTCTGATGTTTGAAAGACAGGTCATTATTATACTAAAAGAGAAACCACTACTTTCAATATAATAGATGCCTAACTGTGGATCTTTCTTATACCATATTAGAATGTAAAATTAGTAAAGGCAGAGATATTCACCTTTGAATATACTTCAGTGAACTATCAATAAATATTAGATTTTCATTGGAAGTACTGTATAGTGATTGCTTATGCTCTCTGAACTAAGACTGGAACCTCTGTGCTGCCAGTTGTGCTTTATACAACAAGCAGATTAAGCATATGCTTTAGGTGGTTTAGGGCACCAGCGAAGCCAGAATAAAAAACCAAAAAGACTTCCTAAAAATTTTTAAATTTAATATTTCAGCAAAAGCACTGAAGTAGTCATCACGGAGAAAAATCAGAAATTTTTTGGACTTCTTTACTTACTCTTTTTGTCTTTGTTTTTATTTACATATTAGGTGAGGTGATGGGACATCAAACTCTTTTCAGTGTTTAGGACCTCCAAAAATCTTAATCCAGCTCTATGTGCGTCTTAAAGTACCACAAAATTTAATCACTCAGTTATTCAGCAAAAGACTACTTCACAAAAATTATAACACATGTGTATTTATACATAATGAATATAATCTAAGATTCTTCCTCATTACAATATCTTCTCTCAGCAAATACACACACACACACACACACACACACAAAATAAATGCCACAAAGCAACTCTTTATAAATTTGAAATGTCTAAATACATGTAAGAAATAAGAGGAGTTAATTTCTGGTGTTGTAGCTCATACTTGATTCACAATTCAAGTTTAGTTACCTAAGAAAAGAGCTCTAGTTATTTTTTTCCTCAACAATTCTGTTAAAGAAAACACTGGGAGATTCCTCCCAGTTTCAACTCTCCCTCTACCTATTAGCCAATCTGTTGCTAGTTGACTATCCAGATGTTTCTGGTGTTTTGTTGCTAATACTCCCATTATACTTTAAGGGGCTGGTTACAGACGTCGCTGGAGGATATGCTTAACTAGAGGCCCGCTCTAATTAGACCACTTGTCATTTTTTGCTTGGTTTCATTTTGACCACTGGGTGCATCATGTAACCGTGCTGGATATTGTTAAGAGCCAAAAATATAGAAACCTTTAACTAACCTTACATAGCTAAAAGAGGAGGTTAAGGGTGCAGACAACTGGTGTCTCCAAGGACTGACATAAACGGTAGGGGAAGAGACTCTACTCCTTTACATTCAGACGCCTTCCCCTCCCCTCAAAAAACCAGCCCCCGTCTGAGTAGAAAAAGAGAGAACTTTGGCAAGAAAGAAATGGCCTTGTTAGAAAAGCTTCCCAGGAGTCATTGTAAATTTAGCTTTAGAGTTCATTGCTTTTCTTCCTTTCTCCGAAGAAATTGAATAGTTGAGTTTCTCGCCCTTGGAACATTAAGACTTCAGAGTTCGTCATGATTTCTTCCCTATACTATGCCTTCAGTGTCCGTAAAAACCAGTGTATTAAAGACCTTTGCTTTTTCTGAGCACGGTCCCCGCTGTCAGCCCGGGCGTCCTCCGCCCCCGCGGCCGCCTCTGCCCACCGCGGCCCCGGGCGTTCCTCTGGCAGGTGCGAGGCCGAGGCCCGGGAGTCGAGGCAGGGCGCGCCCCAGAGGAGGCGGCGGCAGCCGTAGGCCGGGCCGCCCGGGCTCCGAGAGCCTGGCGGGGGAGCGCGGAGGCGAGCCGGCCGGCCCGCCAGGCCCGGGGAAAACTTGGTTCGCGCCAGCTCGCTCCCCGCCTCCCAGCAGCCCGCCGAGCCTCGGAGGCCCTGCGGCTCCCCGCAGCCCGCGTCCTAAACCAGCTCCCTCTCCCCGCCCGCCCCCGCCGGGCTCCGGGAGTCCGAGGTCTCGAGTCGCCGACTGCATCCCGCCAGCCGGCCTCAGGGAGGCCAAGCCCGGCTCGGCGGGGCAGAACGCCGCTCCAGCGGGCCGGGCGGGGGGGGAGCGGGAGCCGGGAGCGGGGCGGGGAGCGCCAGGGCGGGAGGAAGGGCACGGGCGGGCGACGGGGAGCGGGGCAGCGGGAGGAAGGGCGCCGGCGCGGGCGCGGGCGGGGGCGGGGCCAGCGGGCCGCGAGCGCGAGCGCCTCCCGGGCAGGGGGCGGGGCGTGGGCGGTGCCCGGCCTTCCCGCTCCCGCGGCGCTGCAACTCGGCCGAGCCTCCTTAAAACTCTGCCGTTAAAATGGGGGCGGGTTTTTCAACTCAAAAAGCGCTCAATTTTTTTCTTTTCAAAAAAAGCTGATGAGGTCGGAAAAAAGAGAGAAGAAACCGGCACCGTCTCCGCAGCGGCAACAGAAGCAGCAATTGTTTGAGCGAAAAAAGAAGCCAAGGCGGGTGGGAAGGAAAAGAGCTGAAAAGAGGACAACGCGCAAGTTGTCTGCAGGGGTGAAGAGAGCGGGGCCCGGCGATCTGGGGGACCAGCTACAAAAGAAACTGTCAGCGGGAGCGCTGCGGCTGCGGAGGGAGCGGCGGTGCCCGGCTCGGCCGCGGGCACAGTTCGCTGGCGGCCGCGCCCCGTCGGCGGCACGGGCCGGGGGCACGGGCCGGGGGCACAGGCCGTGGGCGGCCGGAGGGCGGCGGGGCGGCGGCGGGGCCGGAGCCGCGGGGCTGTCGCCGACGGGCCGGCAGGACCCGCTGCTCTCGGGCGTTGCGGCGGCCCCCGGTCCCCGGACCTTGGCCCGCGCTTCCCCGGCCGCTCCCGACCTCCGGAGGCCCCCCGAAACCCGCGAAAGGAAGGAAGAGCCGGCGGCGGCGGTTCGAGGAGAGGCTGCGGTGGGAAGTCTGGACCGGCTCGGTCGTAGGCGGGAAGCCAGCGGCGCGCCGCCCCAGCAGCCCGGGCCGCGTAGACGGGGCCCGCACGGCGGCCCCGCGCCCCCTTCCTCGCGCCGCCGGGGGTCCCGGGACCCGCGGGGGCCGGCATGAGCGACCTGCCGGGGGCCCGCCGCGCGCCCGGCCGTCCTCGGAGGCGCGCTCGCAGCCCGGCGCCCGCGGCCCGGGAGGCTCGGCGGGGCTGCGGCGGCGCGGCAGGCGGGCCGCGGAGCCCTCCCGCGCGGCGTTAGCCGGCGGGGCCGCCCGGAGCGAGTCGGGGCTCCCCGGAGCAGCCGAGGCCACACAGGAGCGTTGGGACCCAGAGCTTGAGGGCCACGAACTGCCAGCGGCGTCTGCCTCCGCGCCGGCCTCCCCGCCGCGGGCGCCCTCCCCGCCGCGGGCGCAGCACGACTCTTCGGCACACGGATGGAGACCGGGCCCTGCGAGGACCTGCCCCCGCGGTTCTGGCTCGCGCGGCTCCAGCCACCGCCGTGAGCACGGGTGGGTTAATGCCTCCTCTCCCCCGAACCCCTCCTGCCGCGGCGCTCTGCGCCCTGGTCTAGCCGCCGAGGTCCCCGCACGCAGGACTCGCGGAGACCTGTATGTAGATACGTGACAGCTCTGCCTGCATTTTACGTCCAGAGCAATTTGCTGGGAATGTATAGACGTCTGTGTGTCTTTCTGTTGAGTCACCAGAATTCTTCACAGGGGTTAAGCTAAAGAGCGAGGAGCGGAGCCCCTCTCCAATGGCTCAGTTTTGCTGAATAATCACGTGTGAACCGAGGGGCGGGCTTTTGGCAGGCAGATCTTACTAGTATTTACTACCAAGCTCTACTCCAGATTAACCATCCCAGTCCTTCTGTCAGTCTCCGATGCCATCATGCAGCCTGGTTAGGAGCAAAAGGAAAGGGGAAAAAGAAAAGCAACTAATTCATCTTTTCCCGATCGTCAGGACCCTAAAGAATGGCCGAGCCTTGGGGGAACGAGTTGGCGTCTGCAGCTGCCAGGGGGGACCTAGAGCAACTTACTAGTTTGTTGCAAAATAATGTAAACGTCAATGCTCAAAATGGATTTGGAAGGACTGCGCTGCAGGTTGGTATCCAGAGAGGTGGGGAAAACAGGTCAACAATGTTGCCTACGTGACCCGGGTTTCTGGAATAACGGCTTTTAAGCTTTCAGGGGTACAGAATTTCACTGTTTTTTAAGCCTACTTGGTTGCCATATTTTATATCTTTAAGTGGATCCAAGTCCCAAAAAATGACGTAGTTTGAACAAACTCGTCAAATTCAGTGACATCCTCGATATCAGATGGGTTCCAGGTTTGGTCTTAATTTTTGGAATGTTTTTGTGACGGTGGGGATTTAAAAGTAGTCGAAGCAGCGTCGAGGTGTGTGTGTGTGTGTGTGTGTGTGTGTGTGTGTGTGTGTGTGTGTGTTTTAAGACAGCTCTGTAAACACATTATTATAGTTATTATTTGAAGTAAATACTCTGCTATTAGTGGTTTCCGTGCTTTGCTCCAATAATTGGCTTTAACGTTAATTTTCTTGACTCCTGGCGGGGGTGTTTTTCCTTCAAATTCTTCAAGTTTTGACAAACGACCTTTCCTCGTTTGGAATGGGTGGCCTGGGCACGGGGACAGGATGTACATTTCACAGTTAATGCAATACCATCCACCCGTTCGGGATTGAGGAGGAATAAAAAGTTGAATTTTCTAATCAGAGCTCAGTTTGTAGTATTTTTGTCTCTGCGGTCATGCGGTGGTATGTTCTAATTTTCAGTAATTAGATTTACAAGCAAGAAATGAAACATGTGCAGCTGCCAAGTATTGTACCTGATAATTTTTTTCCTCCTCTGAATGTTAATTATCATGTAACTTAGTTGAAAGGCTTAGAAACAGAAAAATGGCAAAGTAGTCTCAAATAGTTGCTTTATCAAAGTTCTAATAGTGTTCTTATAAACCGTTCTTATTCGGAAATGCAACACTTGAAGCTGTTTTTGAAAATTCATTGGGGAGAAGGTTTTAGAATGCTTTGTTTTACTTACAAGAATTAGACTTAAAAGTAGCAGGAGATACGCTATTAACAGACGAAGTTCAGTCTGTACATTTTTAAATCAGAACATACCGGCCTTGCAAAAATTTCAGTATTAAGGAAATTTATGCATAAATACTAAATTATTTAATCTTGTTATTTCACGTAGATTCTATGGGATAAGGAATTTTTTTCTTTGTCCACCTAGTAGTTTTTAATAGCTTTGATGATGATAACAATGCTACAAATTTGATATATTGAAAAGTTTCCTATTGAAAATCCAAAGATTATATAAATTTGACTAAGAATGAGCAATTTAACCCATGTTCAGAATAAGATCTTACAGGACTTTTGATGAACAGGAAGACTGACAAAAAGTTTTGATATTTTTAATACAACTTTGCAATCTTGTTTGTATTAAGCACACTTATCAATATACTAACACCCGTTTATTGTGGCTTAACCCTAATTTATATAATGAAACATACACAAACAGGAGTTTCAAGGCTTATTTTCAGTATGTATAATCCTGACTCTGAAGTTGTGTCATAACTCAAGAAAGAACTTTCTTTCAAAACAATTTCCAGTATTACTATTATTTTCTGTGAAAGGCGAATTTTCTTCTATAATTATGTTCATTTAACCTGGTTGCAAAAGCTTTTCCCCCCTTCCTAGTGTAAGCTTTTCAATCAGGATAATGTGAAAGGCCTTAATCGCACATTTGCTCTACAAAGATCCAAGGTGTCTGTCCCTTATTTTTCCCCGGTCCAGATCTTTAAATGTGACTAAATCTTTAGAGATAGTTGTGGCAAAAATTAGATTGTGTTCATTTTTAACTAATAACTATATTTTATTGAAATTCTCAAAAAATAAATTATGTATCATTTTTACCATTGCTCCAAAGGCAGGGCTAGGTCAGCAGGGTTTTATCAACAGGGAAGCTTAATACCTTGGCCATCTATATAGTTTGCATTCATAAAATATTATTCATTCTAAATATATTTTATTACTTAATTTGTGATTATTTTTTAAATAAACAATTTAAAGCGACAGATCAACTCTGTAGGTATTTTTCAGTGGATTATATTTGATTTCACAAACATTTGAGTGTCTACTGTGTAATCTGTTTATTATAAATTTAGGAATATACCTAAATATAATTGAAACCAGTTAAAATGCTGAACTATTTTCTGGGATGTTAATGAGAGTACATTTTTTTTTCACAACTAAAATTATATGTATTATATAATCACATGCTGCTCTACAAGACATTTTATGAGAGCCTAACAGAGGAAAAGACTTACCTACTGTTGTTTGAACATATTTCATCCTATGAAATCCTATGAAATATGTTCAAACAACAGTAGATAAGTCTTTTTCGTGTGAATTATTTGTATGTTGATAGCAAATTTTAATACCACATTCTGACTCTGAAAATGTTGGCAGTTTACAAATAGCTATTTGTAAATGCCTGATAATAACTGGAAAAGGAAATAAGATGGCATCACCAGTTGAGTATTAAATGCACTCAATCCACAAAACAAAGTTGTGAGTCTCATAATTCACATTAAATATCTTCTTTTCTCTTTGTTTGCTCACTTAAAAATCAGGAAGCTAGTTAGAACTTCAAGAAACAGTGAGTAATATAGTTGGAAAACTGTTTCATTCTTTTCAAGAATGGTTGCAATGCAATCATCTCCTGTCTAATACATGACAGGACTTAGCTTTAGATAACTTAGCTTTAGATAAATCAGTATCATAAGCAACGTAGAACACCACTGATTATTAACACCTTAACAATTAGTAACATTTTAAAATTCGGGTGAAGGCTACAGAACACACCTGGTAGCCAATAGGAAATAACTTGCAAAGGAAAAATATTTTTAAAAACACTTGGAAGTTTGAGCTATATATATTTGGAGAGAACTTGTGAAAATTAATAATTTAAGAAAATATCAAGTCTAGTATTTTAATAGATCATTTTTATATTAGGTGATGGAGTCTGATGTGTGGAAACAGTTCTTTGGGGATATAAAGAAACTCACTCTCCTTATTTCTTTTTCAGTAGCTATTTAGAAAATAAATTTTATCTAGATTTGATATTTCAGAATTAATAACCCAGGTTTTATGTTTTATGGGCATAAGCAATCAAACAAGAGACTTTCAAATTCCAATTCTTTTATTTTAATAATTTCATGAAATTACACAACTCCTCATGGGAGATAGGGAACTGAGTTCCTGGTGAGTTTTCTACAAGCTGTACTAGCTTATCCTCCTTTGGGCCTATTTTTAAGATAGTCCATCATAGAAGCTCAATTTTTAGAGGTTGTCTTCTACTTTCACCTACTGGTACTTTCTTTCCTGCAATTGAGCCCTTCAAACCCTACCAGGTGGGTCTTCCCCAAGCATTGCTTCTCCAAAAATAGAGTTATATAAATAGTAGAGAAGGATATTTTAAAATATTCTTGTAGGAGCACTTGAAGGATTCTCCCGTTTTCTCTTCTTTCCTAGGTTATGAAACTTGGAAATCCAGAGATTGCCAGGAGACTACTACTTAGAGGTGCTAATCCCGATTTGAAAGACCGAACTGGTTTCGCTGTCATTCACGATGCAGCCAGAGCAGGTTTCCTGGACACTTTACAGACTTTGCTGGAGTTCCAAGCTGATGTTAACATCGAGGATAATGAAGGGAACCTGCCCTTGCACTTGGCTGCCAAAGAAGGCCACCTCCCTGTGGTGGAGTTCCTCGTGAAGCACACGGCCAGCAAAGTGGGGCATCGGAATCATAAGGGGGACACCGCCTGCGACTTGGCCAGGCTCTACCGGAGGAACGAGGTCGTTAGCCTGATGGAGGGAAACCAGGCAGAGGGAGCTTCGAATTTGCAATGAATGTGGGGAGGGCTCTCCCACACTGCCTTCTATTTTGTCATTAATTGGTTGGCTGTCCTATTTTACTATCACTTGTTAAAATCCAGTTTTGTCATATTTTAAGCAGCTAGTTAAATCTTCTCATACTGCAAAGTGGAAATCTTACTACAGGTTTATGAATATATTTAAGCAACATCTTTTTCACCTGCAAAATCTTGAGTTCTAACATGTAATTGCAAATAGCTTTGGCTTTCTCCTGAATATGTTATCTCGCCTTGACTTTTTCCTTGCTTCTCCCTTTGCCAGTCTCAAAACCCAACTTAGAGACTTTGTTTTAAAAATGATTTGTCCTGATGTTTCTTTTGCCTAATTAAAACACTTTTTTAAAAACAGGACAGTGTTTTTCTGTGATTTCCACTCTATTACCCCCACGTAGGTTGCCACTTGCTAAGAAGTGTACAAAAAGATGACAATGTTTAAGTCTCCACGTTAGAGAAAGTAGATGAAGTGAAAAACTAAACATATTCTATTGATGATTCATTCTTTCCTCATGCCTCCCTCCAAAGATTTTACTTGGTGCCCTGTAATTCTGCATTACAACAAAATAAGGACATTTTTTGAAGAACTAAAATGATTTAAATGTGAATTTTTCCTAATGCTCAGTCTTCCCCTTTTCTCAAAGTTAAGTTAAATAGTTGAAAAACAGGCTTCAGAAGTAGAGATCTGAAAACAAATATATGTTAGCTCTAAAGGTCACTTTTAAAAGAAAATGCCACCTTAAATGTGCTTCCCACTAATTGTTCTTTTTTTAATCACAAAGTGAAACAATTGGTTAAATAATACATTTCCCAAATTATACCATAAATATACTATCACATTTTTTTCTCTCTGCATGTCAGAAACATAAAATTACAAAATGTTTAGTATTGAGATATAATGTAAATACAGATTTTTAGGGGATACAAAGTACAGCAAGAAAAAAATGTGTAAATTACATATAAAGGTCATTACTAATTATGACCCTTACCTGTAAGGGTCTTAACTGCAGTATAACAAATATAGAAACTTTTACAATAAGTAAATAGGCCACTCCTATACATGGTACTTGATTTCCAGGAAACTTTTTAGTAAAGGCTTATAAAATCTTGTTAAGAATACATTTAGCTAAAAATAAAAACAATTTGAAATAGAAATATCAAATTTCCAAGAGAATTGTCCAGCATCTGCTATTTAACTTTACAGATCTTCACCAAAACAGTTCAATGCAGTTACCATTTATAAATTTATAAATACTTTATTCATCATCTCCGACATGAAACAAAGATGTTTTATGTGAAAGCTCCCTCCTGCTTTATAAGCTCCCTGCCCTGGCTCCAAAAAGAACAAAATACTTCAAGGTTTATTGACGGATATGGTTCTGATGCCTGCCCTAACAAGGATTGAAATGGTCGCAGGCAAGTGGTTTCCAATAATTTGTTTTCCATAAGAATATAAAAGAATATAGGGAAAAAAAGTTTTATTCTTTTTATTCAGCACTAAAGTTCACCTCCTTAAGTGCAATAAGACTTCAACTTCCACCACCTCTAACCACAAATTACTGAATAATTTTTTGACAGCTTCATAAAATTAAATTTAAAATATTTCATTTTAAAATTTAGAAAGAAGTAGAAATTGGGATATTTTTAAGGAAAAAGTGTTGTGTTTTGGATCTTAAAACCAGAATCAGTACACAAAATACACTCCTTGGGAAAGCTGAATGCTTTCTAAACACAAGTCTTTTACTGAAAAATAAAAAGAACCCTTCTGCGAGTTGCAACTGTAAAGATGGACGTTTCTGAATTTAAAGTGGAGTTTAATGAACTCTTCAGTATCCAAGTTTCAGCATTAAAATTACTTTTTAGAAATTTCAAATATAAAGGCATAGGGTGTCTATAAAGCTAGAGAGGAGTACTTTGTTCTTAAGTGGTTGGGAGTACAGTAAGGGGAGTCGGGAGCTCTCTTCATTTGCCTAAAATTTGCTAAGCATTAAAATATCGGGACATTTCTCTGGTTCTTTGCAGGAAATAGCTTTACTAATCTAAGTATTTTAGAAATGAGTTATGTGGTCCCCTCTAGGAAATATGAAAAACCATTATTCAATCTCTCAAAAACCTCGACAATATTCAGCAAGACTTTGCATATGCCGAAATGTATAGGGTGGAAGAAAAGGTGCTGCTGAGTTTAATGGAATCTAATTGGCAAGGAGCTGAGGTTGCGGAGGGTCTGAACTTAATTCAGATGCAGAGCGGAGCGGCAGCGCCCACTGACCTAGCGCTCAGAACCCCAGGAGACTACGCTGTAGGAAGGATGGGGGATGCTGAAGTAGGGATGCGCTCTCAAATTCAGTTCTCCACTGGGTCCGCATACACTTCTGGCAACTCGGGCTCAGCCTTTGCCCAGTAAATTGCATTCAAGCTTATACCTGGGGGAGGCGGGGGACACTAACCGCACCTCAGGCCCCTTTCTGGTCCTTGAGACATTGAGCAAGCCCCATTTTACCATATTTCGGTATTGAGTCAATAGTTTTCTGCTAAACATTACACAATCTCAATGAGGTGATGAGCTCCCCCCCACACACACTACACTGGGTGACTAATCAATAGATAAAATAATTCTAGCCCAGGAAAGCAATTCAATTGGTAATATTATAAATGTTCCTAATCATGTTGATCAAACGAACGTTGTGGAATCCGTAGCCTGAGACTGGTTTCGAAATCTCAGTTCCCAAAAAAGGTGCTTTCGGCTTTTGTCGGGGGTAGAAGTAGGAGTCCAGACGCGCTGCAAGGTCACCGTGCTGGAGCGAGAAGGGGTCGGGCCCGCACCCCTCCTGACCTGCCCTCAGCGCCCATCATCCTAAGGCTCTGAGGGGGGGGGGGGTCCCGACCCTGCCATCTCCAGACTGTTGTGATTTTACAGGGCAGTTCCAAAAAAAAAAAAGATCCACGGAGAGACCTACTGGGAGAGGCTGGAGAAATCTCGCAGCCTGAGACCCGGGGCGAACCTCTACCCATTGCCAAGCTAACCCGCGCCGTCCATGCAGGGACTGCGAGGACATCCCTTCTCCCTTCGAAGCTCTCGGGCTCCAACGGCAGCTCGGGCCGCGCAGCCAGGAAGCCCGAGCCTGGCGCTCGCTCCGGGCGCGCGGAGGAGCCCGGCGTGGGGGTGGGGGAGCCTCAGGACCGTTAGCTCGCGTCGCGGGTGTGTGTTTTTTTCTTTTCCCTCCCTCGCTAAGGTTTCTTTTCTTTTCTCTTCCTGTCCAAATATTTCAAATTTCCGCGCCTTAAATAACAGTCTCCTTTTATTTAGCTCGTTCCCTCGGCAGGTCCGGCCACCCGCTGCTCTCTGCCCCCCCCCCCCTCGGGCCCGGGGCAGCTCGCGCGCGGCGGAGCAGACGGCAGCCCCCGGCCCGGCTGCACGGCCCCGGCTGCACGGCCCGCGCTGCGCGGCCCGAGCCCGGCGCCCTGTCGCCGCGACCTCCCCTGACCCGGCGCCCCGGGCACCCGGAGCCAAGGGAGGCCGCCCCTCAGCCCGGGCGCCTGTGTGCCTCCGCAGCTCGGCCTCCCTCCCCGCGCTCGGGAGCCTCCTCTGCCTCGGGGCTCGCCCCCGCGGCCGCCGGGGAGCGTCGGCAGGGCCGCGGCCACGGGAGCGGCGAGGAGGCCGGCGGCCGGAGCCCGCCCCAGCCCCCACCCCGCGGGTAACCTTGGAGGCGCCCTGGGGTGAGTGCGAGCGCGAGCGCGGCCGCGCCGGGCGGCGGGCGGGGGGCGGGGAGCGGGCCTCTGTGCTGCGGGGCTGCGGGGGCGGCCGGGGTCCTTCGGGCCCGGCCTCGGGCACCGTCCCCGCGGAGGCGGCGGCCCTCGCGCCGGAGGGTCCCCGCGACCTGCGCCGAGCCCGGGGGCGGCGGGCGACGGCGGAGCGGGTGCCGCGGGGCGGGGAGCGGCTCGCTGGCGGCGGAGGTGAGCTGGCGGGGACCCGCGCGCCGCCGCCCCCCGCCCCCGCCCCCGCCCGCGCCGCGCGGGTGCCAGCGCGCCCTGCGCCCCGCGGCCCCGCGGCCGGCGGAGGAGCGGGAGGACCAGCGCACCTCGGGCTGCCCGGGCCCAGCCGCCGCGGGCTTTGCCGCCGGTGCTGCCCTCCCCGCCTGGACTCCGGGTCGCCCGGGTCTCAGGACGCACGCTCTTTCGGAAAGACCCTCCGCTCGCGGGGCCGGGCGCAGGCCCGCGGGCGCTTTGGGTGGGGCCGCGCGTGCAAACCACCTCCGAGGGGGCTTCTTGTTTTGTTTTCACCCGGAATAGATCCGGAGAGCCAGTGGGGATCTGCAGCGGTTTCTCCAAGAATAAAAACTCTCCAGATCTGGATGTTGACTTGGTAAATTAAGGTTCCAGCGAGATGTGCCATCTGCTGCAGAAGCAGTGTGCAACCTTCAGGTGTTAGGATGTGAGCTTGGGATTTTTCGGTACTGTCTTCTAATTCCCCAAGACATTAAATAACAGCAGGGCAACACACCCGACAAGTGAGCAAAGGTTATCCTTGCCACCACAGCACCTGCAAAAGCACAAGTGGAACTCGCAGAGTTTGCTTCCTGAGTTCTAAAATGGCTTCTGAACGGTCCAGAGGTACCAGCACATACAAGGAGGGGGACAGGAGTCAGGGAAAGAGTTTGCACTTTTTTTTTTTTTTTAACTACACTGACATTATTACACTTCAGTTAATCCACCTCCCCTCTCCTTCTCCAAGCCCCCATCCTCATTGGTCAAGAAAGAATTTTAGTGTAGGCCTGTTGTATGATTCTATGTACTGCCTTTTTCTCTTCTCTCACCACCCTCCCCCAAAAACCCAGTCGGCCAGAAATATCAGCTCTTTTGCGGAGGAAGTAAAAAAACTACCAATCCTTATCCAAACTACCCCTCATTTCTTTTATATATTAAGAAGAAATCCTACATATAACCAATACTGTGCAAGAAGAAATGGTTTTCCTGGACCTCAAACGCATTTAATTGGCATAATTAAAGTGATATTAATTATCTTTTAACATGAAAATAATGGGACAGTTTCTGGAATTGATAGGTGAAAAGCTAAAAAGTACCACGGACATGTTTGGAGACATAGCTTCTGCTCCTCTTTATATTTAATCAGTACACTAGTTACTTAGGAAAAAAAAATAGATCCTTTATCTTGACCATATAAAGCAATATCATGCTGACTAATTTTATTTTAGTTGTATGCCTTAGTTTTTCAGATTAGTTATATATAGTGAAAGTTCACTATAAAGCAAAACTGACATCTTGTAATGTTAAACTTTTAATTTGGAAATGCAACAAATTATCACAACCATATTAAAACACAATCTACTCCCTTGTTTCTTCTAAATGTACAATATGCACAACTTGTTTGTAAAGAAATCTGCCCTGAGTTTAAAATGTTAAAGTAAAAAAGAACTTACTGGTCTTTAAGAATAATTATTCTATAATTTGGCTATTCTGTGTACAGCTAATGTAACAGTAGCTCCTTGTCTTACATCCTGGAACTGTTGTAAAAGCCATTTGGGCCCAAATAGTACTTGTTCCATAGTTTTCTCCTTCAGATATTCCTACTAAAAAGGGACTGTCCTCAATGATGCAGCAGTGTTCTGATGTACATTGTGCTAATCCAAAAACTTTAGACCAAACCTATACAGGCCATTTTAAAAGGGACATGCACTTCTTCTTATGTTAAAGCCTAAAAAAGATATGATTGAATCTTAACAGTTGAAAGTCTTGGGATAGCTAATTTGCAAATCAGTTATTAAGGTGTAGGGATGATTCAAGATGAAATCGTAAAACTTCATGTACTAGGAGAATAGCTGGGATCAAATTATTGAAGTGAGCAACATTTGATGATGATTAATAGTACAGTATTTCCTATCTCAGTACTCAAATAAGTAATAGTATGTATTCTGGTATGATTTTTAACTGTCAAGATAATAATATATAAGAATTATCATTAGATACAGAAGTAATTGTTCCAGAGTCTCTTTTCCATGGCTAAGTAAAATATAATTAGAACATAGGAGCACCTTTAAAAAAAAAAAAACTTCACTACATAATCACCTATATTTTTGGCTGGCCGCCTCTTTTTTCTTTTTTTTTTTTTTATTTGATTTGTGCTTTTTTGCCTCCACATTTTAGGTGATGAACAAAAATAGCATGTAGAAAGAGGTTTCCATTTCTCCCTATTCCTGTTTTCTCAGCCATCTATTTCCCTATTCACAAACGTTACTTCAACTTTAACAATCATATATTGTGATGCTAAAAAGTAATTGTTATTCCAATTAATTTAAATTTATCACAGGCCTATAAGTGAAAAAGCACTCAATCTGTATTTTACTTAAAGTTAAATGGAAAAGTGTGGACATTAGGTTGTAGCAAGTGTGTATTTATGTTTTGAATACAAATTTGCTGGAATCTTAAAACCTAATATTTTGACATAGCTAAGACTTTTAGTGCAGGATCAAGATCTAGAAAGTCTTAAATTTCTGGTCTTCAAAAAATAATATATTTTAATTTGCCATATTAAGATAAGACCAATTGTTTTAACTAATAGAAAGTTAAAATGTTGATACTTACAGAAAAATATAAAGAGAGGACTATGATATCAAGTCTAATGTGGCTTTTTAAAGTAAATTATTTGTACTGGTAAATTGTATATGTTAATTATAGTGATCATTATTTTACAGTTAAATGTTGCACTGGGCACATGGACCAGAGTTTTCTATGTTTATCTAAAAGCATATAGTTGTTATCATGCAGGTATTCAAAATAATACTTTGTAGTCCTGTCCTAAATGGGTATTTTTATGTACATGCGTGCATGTTTAGATATTCCTTACTAAAGTTCACTACTGAGCAAATAGATATTTTGAACAAATACTGTCAATTCATTTCATGTTACCATTTTAAGATGTAAAATCATGATCTATAGAAATGTAAGCTGATAATTTTTTAGATATAGGTGAAATAATTTTCGTTAATGGTCCAGGGAAAGATATAAATTAAAATCAGAGAACTGAAAATACTGAGGCAGGTCCTAGTTCTACCTAGGTTATTTTTTCAAATTCTTGTCATGAGGCAAATATATATGAAAGTGACTTAACATCCACAATTAATATAACCAATTTGAAATAATAGAAATGGAATTGTGATAGTGACAAGAGGAAGAAAGAATATTTAAAATGTTTTAGATAGCTATGACTGTAGGTTAATTTAATTTCAGTTACATGATGGGCAATTTGCTAACTAATCCAAAAGCAAGGACGAAACAAGATCACTGAAAAGATAGCTGCCCAAAAATTCAAAACCAGGGCAAACAAGATCAAAAAATTTTTTTCATATACCACCGTGGGAAATATAAACAAGTTAATCTTGATATGGATAATTTAACAATTTCCAGTGTACTTTTCTACCAATTCACTTGCTTAATGCTTTTAAAACCTATAGTTAGGAAATAACCACTTACTATTTATGGTCAAAATTTTAAATGACATATGTATGTTTTACTTAAATACAACAGATACGTATTCTGTCCCAAAAGAGCAAGTTCAGCACCTTTCTGAAAGGGAGAGTGGATACCATTGGACATCTGGACTAGAGAAGCCTGAGTAGGGCCACATGGGCAAGAGCACTGAATTTAATGCTGGCTAATTTGCTCGGGAGTGATCAAAATGGCTCTGAGACTGGTATACATTGTCTGTAATTCTTTAAATACACAATGTACTTACCGAAAGCAAGAAACTTTATTCAAAGGCACTTAGAGGAAGATATATATATTTTTGGCATCCAGAAGGACATCGCCGATGTCACAGGGAAAATATTGATGTAGCAACATAAAAGAGAAGTAACTGTACATAATAACATCAGCTGAGGATAAATGACTGTTTTCGATTTCTTAAAAAAGGCTTGTTTTAAATATTTAAAACGCACAGTTCTTCAAATATATGGCTAATATCTATAAAATACACAACACAAACTTATTAATATTCTAATTTTTAAAATTTCCACAAAGTACTCCAAAGTACTTTTAGTTCATCAGATCGTATTGAAATATCACGCACCATACCCTAAGATCAGCAAGTAAATGTTGTGGCTTATCAATGTAAAAGAATCTTAAAGATCAGTACTATCTAAGGAAAATATCCTTTTTGAGTTATTAGGATGAAGATATGGGAATTTTTAGTAGCACATTTTGTATTCTACAAAAAAAGACATTGTATTTAGGATCAATGTGAAATTAATTTGACATCTCTAAAGCAAAGTAATATTTTATATCATTGTTTTAAGTTTAAATATGTAGAATTTAACCAATAGAACTGTGGATGGCCATTGTGAGATTTCTTTATTCAGCAACACAATAAACTGAAGAGAAATTAGATCAAGACATAAAATTCAGACATAAAATTCAAATGATAGAACAACAGTGATATTAAACCAACCAAGAGAAAAATTTTCTCACCCCAGAATCTTGTTTATTTGGGGAAAAGAATGTAAGAAAGACTATTTAAATCCCTTTTCATTAGATTAAAAGATTGCTGCCTTCTTATTCAATATTATAGGGAATAAAATCCTAAATATTTATAAAAGATATGAACATCCTAAGATACAAGTGGCTCCCTCCTTAGAAAGTATGATAGTAATTGATCTGGGATGGTTCTCTGAAGATTTTCAATGTAGTTATGAATATGTTAGCAT